ATTGAAATATCTTTCTAGATCCTCCAATACATCTTTACCAATTTAAAATTACAATTACGCTGTAGAAGGAAGAATTTCTCCATCATTCTTCACGAACCAGAAATACAAAACGCTCGCTCTGACCACTAACAAAGTTTACCCTCCACCGAGATAATCAGCTCAAAGTGTGAAAAAAGCAGAAGGAGAGTGCAGTTTGCACAGTTATCTCTTCAACCAGTGTCGAGATCTTCATCATCATTTTTGTCATATCATTGGTCTCTTCGCTATTTCTCTCTTCACCTCTCTCTCTCCCTTTCTATCATATAAAAATACGTCGTCTATATGAGGAAGTCGCGGCTTACACGCGTCGAATAATCTGTATACAATATATTTGAACGACTCTTCTAGAATTTCTTTCTTCCTTTCTTTCTCTCATCTTTGTATCCACTTCTTCATTTTTTTTTTTTTAACTTGGTCTGGAGAAATTTCGGAGCCTGAATATCTGCCGACACCATGTAGCGAGTGCTGGCTATCCCAACCCTCACATCGGCCCCCCTCAACCCAGCTGATGATATACTCAGTGTCTGAACCCTCCACAGGATGTCTATGTCCCATAAAAAAAAAAAAAAGCACCAGCATTAGTATCCATGACAACTTTGAATTTCTTTCGTCAAATTTTCTGTAACCTATCTGTACAAAATTATTGTAATTCATTCTACAGAGATCTGTACACTATTCAGTAAAGATTAACATAATTAACAGATTAACAGGTAACCATAAAAGTTTCTGCAGTTCCAACGTGCAAACTTGTTTTGGTTATCTGATACTTGAAATAGAGCAGAAGAAAATAAATAGAAAATTAAAAAAAGAAAAAAATTAACAGCTTGTAGATTTATTTACAGAGACTATGAGACACCCTGTAGATACCCTATTCGCTCACAAGATTCATCGTGATCGCTTAAAGCCTCTACCACTGTCCTGAACGGAAATCAAGATTCCGTATAAACCAGGCAAAAAACGAGGAAATCATTGTCATCGCGTGCCTTCAAGGTCTAGAAGAATCAGTGAACGAGTTGATCCGTGGTGGAGTAGCTGTCGCAAGTGGATCCCACCTGAACGAGAATTAATCAAACTATTTTTCAACTGAGATATCTTCTTTCTTTCTTTTCTTTTGTTTTTTTTTTTTTTTGAATAAACCAAAGAAATTAAATTTTAGACTAGTTCAGTGGGACTCGTTGATCCCCTGTGTCCAATGTGTGAGTGTGTAAACGTCTGTGTGTATTTGTGTGAGCACGTATGAACGGGAATGTGTCCGGAAGTTCCTAGAGAACGCCAGTAAAATGAACGCAGAATGCGACGCGAACGACGGGACTGTTTACGGAAAATGGTCCCGTCGATGCAGCGACTCGTTTACAGGCTTTTCAGGTACGCTTGCAAGACATTGTGCCGGAAATACTATTGTGCGCCAGGCCCTCGAAATCGGGAACATCCGGAGGACCGACAGTTTTGTGCGCTCGCGACTGCGACCAGCCGCGAGACGATTGAAAGAGCCTGTTTTATTTTTCTTTTTGTTCTCTTCTTGGATGTTTTCGTTTCCTTTCTTATTCTTTGTTTTCTCTTTTCATTCAGGCGATTAATACTCGAAGGAAAAGGGGAACGCAAGGATGTAAGAGTAAGTCGGAGACGCGAGCCTGAAGCTGCGAGGCAACTGAGAAACGAGGATCACGTTCGACAGGGCGCTGATGAGCTTTGAGAAGTGGTACTGTTCGACTAATTTTGAGTGTTTGTTGAAGTACAGAAAGTTACGCGTTTACATTTGTCGATATTAAATTTGATTCGTAAATTGAAAATATCACGTACATTCATATTTCGAATATTCTTAGGCCGAAACCTGAAAATACAAAAAAGAATAAGTTCCTTAATTATCCTCTTTTACCTTAAAAAAATTCACACTTCAGACGGACCGCACCTCAAAATTCAACAAAATATCCTTTAAATTTCAATAAATACACTACTCAAGGTCACAGTATAAAAGAAAAAATGAAACTTTGGCAAAAACATAACCTAGAATTCTTGACAATCTTCTCTAAACACACGCTGTGTCGTAGTAATAAAAAAAAAAAATGAGAACCTAACCTAAAAATCTCCACGCAGAAACCGCCCGAAGCATCCGTGTATCATCAGTAACCGTCAGAACGTCAGCCTCGAGTCAAAGACCGGAACCAAGCCCGTACCGAGGAAGCCACTAACCATAAATCATAATACAACCTAACCGAAAACCCCGAAGCACCGAGAAAAGTCTAACGTGTAATGTGGTGTACAGCCAGTGTGTCGTCGACGCGTAAGACGCGATCCACACGCGTCCAAGATAGGATCGTATAAATGCAGTCGTCGGATTTAAACAATGTAAATACATCGGAGATTCGAAAGACAGATCATAATAGATGCAAAGACTGGCCCCTTCGCTCATGCCGGCTACTCGCTACGTCTCTACTTTGATTGGTCGAATTCTTGCTCTCCACGAACCGTCATATCTTTCGCCCTCTTATCCACAACAACGGAACCCGAACGAAAGGAATTCACGAATTGGTGAACGATTGAATGGCGAATGATCGACGTTCGATCGCAAGGAACATCTGTTGGCTCGTCGAGAGACACCCCCATCATCCCTAAAAGTCAACGGCTAGCCTACTTTGGCACACAAACAACACTGCCCGGGCCGGCACTCGCTTTTTTTTTTTCTTTAATATATACTTTTTTTGTGGTTTTTTTTCTCGTTTTTTCTCATCATGCTTCTCGTCGCCACACTCACTCCAGTCACAGCTTGTGTCTTGTATCAGTCACACGCGCGGAACAGGCTCTCCCACTCGTTCTCTCAGCCAGTCTCTCACTTTCGCATTTTCTCACATTCTCACACATTCTTTCTCTCTACCTTTCTACGGTCGATATACGTATATTAATAAGATTTAATTGACTCCAACAGAACGTCGGTTAGACAAAAATCGACTGGGGTTCGGAGACGAGTCGTCACGTCACTATTCACATCGCGCCGCCATGTTGTTCGGGGCAATGAGAACGCCAGTGGCGCCACGACATGTCCTCCTGCCCACCCTTTTATCACGACTCTACGACACTACTGATAATCTTCGCTTCTTGACACGAGGATTCGATTTCGCGAACGCTATCGCACGCCACTCTCTGATCTTTTCTTCTTCTTTTGCTTTGCGTGTGTAATTTTGTGTATGTGTGTGTATGTATTTATGTGAGTCGTGGCAAACCAGGACTCATCGTTCTCTCTCTCTCTCTCCCCTTTCGAGCCTCTCTCCTCGTGATACCTCTACGATACTTATTTGTTACGCTCTTGCGGACTATAGGCTACTATATGTGTGTGTACCATTATAGTGTGTGTGTCCCGTGTACGTGGTTATTTTTTTCATCTTTTAATTATTTTCATTTAACCTTATTATCTTACACGACACCAGCGCATCTCAACAACACAACAGACCAGCCCTACGAAAGATGCTCCTCTCTTTCTTTCTCTCTCTCTCTCTTTCTTTTTCTCAGAATCGGTTCGTTCTACGTCGCCTGCGGGCGCGTCTTCATCAAAAGGAATGCTCGGTGATCAGGAACTAATCGTCGACCTAAACGAGCCTGAACCACGCGAAGCTCGTCCGTCCCTCGGAGTCGAATAAGAGACGGGATTCGTCGCGTGAGAGGGAAAACTGTGTTTCCCTAACCAGCTAAAATAACACCAACAAACTTCTTCGCGAAACGCGTGCGCGTGCCTCTCTGTCTAATTAGCGATATGTTCAACGGTCCTTCTCTACCCTCGTCAAATAATTACTTGGCGACGGAGCTTATTTTTTTTTTATTATTTATTTCTCCTCCTCAGCCTTACTTATACGATTAAAGAATCTACGCAATCCTAAGCACCTATCAGCTAAGAAACCTGCGTCTGAATGTCTCTGCGTTTATGTGTATATGTGTGTATCATTTGTATGTACCTCTTTAGTGTACTCTGTGTGTGTGTGTACGCGTGTATATACGTGTTTTTGTGTGTGATTAATACTTATTATCGTCGAACATACAAATTATAAAAATACCACCTGCAACGACAGTGCGCGGCTCCGCCACGTGGGGGCAGTCGCGTCGCGAGCCAGCCCGACACCGGTGTGCGCATGCGCAAGCGCGCGAATCCAGCTCTCCCTGGACACTGAATACTGAAGAAGGTTTCATTGTTTATTTTTTTCGTTTTTTTTTTTAGAAAATTAGAACGAAACAAGGGGATCTGGGCCGCGAGGACGGCCTGTAGCACGTGGCGGAGGAGACATGGAGAAAAATCGTCCTCTGTCCCCGTGATATAATCGATACGATCGAACGAATCGGCCACGGGCCAGAGGGCGCGAGTGTAGCACCTCGCGAAAGCTGCAAAGGGTCCCGTGACAATTAGCCTTAACGACTAATCTGGCTTGGTACGCGCGCTACTTTCAAAATCGATCCTCGTCCTCGTTTCTTTCACTGCTTTTTTTTTCTTTCTTTCTCTTTGTTTCGTTTTGTTTCAGCGCGTTCGAGACAGATTCTCGCGACGGTTAAAAATATATATATATATTATAGATTTATGTGTATATAGAATATACCTTAATGCTCGAAAAAATTGTTCTTAACTCTGTACAAGAGCCGAGAGAGCCGGCTCTTCCCTCTTTTTTTTCCCCTTCATATATTCCCTCCTCACCAAGCCCCTCTGTTTTCATTTATTTCTTTTTGTTTGTTCTTTTTTTCGCGTTAAAACCTAGTCTCTACCTGTTCACATCGGAACAACACACGCTTCCGGTGGTGTCTCCTCTCCTCTCTCTTTTTTTTTCTCTCTATGATCGATCTCTGGCTTTTCTATTCTCTCGTACGTTCTGGCTCTCGCGAAAGCCAGCAGTGTTTCGTAACATACTCGTCAACAACCCTCTCTGTTTTTCGCTGTTTCGCAGCCCTAATCCTTTTTTTGTCTTCGTCTTACTTTGTTGTTGTTGTTTTTTTTTTTGTAACTTTCTATACCTGTTCTGTATAACATGTCTGTATGTGTGTGTGTGTATGTACGTATGTACGTTTGTATGATCATATGGTGGAGAAAATCGTGTCTGTCTGTACGCTTTTTTTCTTCTTCTTTTTGTTTCAACGGTCTAGACTGTTTTTGTCGAGAAAAATAGAAATGGATCACACACCCGCATCAGCGTGTGTGTGAGTGTGTTTGTGTGTGCGTGTATGTGTTTATCTCCTCTCGAAGGAGGAAGCGTCTTTCCTTCGTTTTTCCAGGCAAGATCCAGAGGGTGGCCAGCCAATGGCGTCGCGGGAATGGGACCAAGCGACTGACCGCACCCAAACGGCGAGGATCATCGTCGTCATTGTCATCATCATCAGTCGTACACTGAGCCGGGTGACCAAAAGGGGACTAGGGCGTAGGGCTGGTACCACTGCCGGTCGTTTGATTGTGACTCTTGTTAGATGTTGCTCTTGGAAAATGACACTCTCAGGTGATTGGACTCGCTCAGCTGGAAGTTGTGCATTTTCTGGAAAATATTAAGTGTTGCGGTTAGACTGATGGTACAGCTTCCTTAGTTTAATTCTTCTAACTAACATTTTTCTAACGAATTTAAAATCATCCTTTGGAACAGTTAGGACAAGTGAGTTAGACTGTTTTTGTAAGTTTGCTTGAAAGAGACAAACTATGTATGTGGTGCTGGGAAAATAAATTCCAAGAATGTGTTGACTATCTGACGGTGAACAAATAAAATACATTTACACGCTATATTTTATAGTTTGCGATACAGGAGGGGTAGCTTGAGTAGATTAATTTGAAACAAGTTAGACCTTTCCTTTTAAAAATTTTATACTGCTGTTGAATAAATAATAAAGTAGGTTTTATGTACTACTGTAAGAAATTTATTTTAAATATGGGAAAGGAACTGTAAGTATTGCATGCCTCCTTTTGGAGTTAAATATTACTTGTCTAATTCCTATTTGGAGAAGTGCAAAATCTAGAATTTTTTGCTAAATGAAACTGTATTTATTATCACATAAAAGAATTTGTGAAAATTGAAAATTTATCATCTTTCTCACCGATCAAATATCTTCTTGTTAAATTTCTTTTGTATTCTCAAATAGTTTCAACCATTTACACGCTAGACAAATATAAATAAATCAAAATATTCTATTTTACATTTTACCATTTATTCCGTTTCAATTGTCTTTTCAAGTTCATGCAAACAGTTCCTTAAACGTAATAATAATACATTTATAAATGCGTTTACCTATACCGTACACTAGAAAAGGAAGCATTTTGTCAAGCAAATGACAATATAGCAATAATGGTAGGATATTAGTCGAAATTAAATCTGCTTTTGATCACAACGAAACGGGAAACAAACACGAATTAACCATGGTGAACGATGAACGATTATTATTTTACAACGAACGCGAAATGTCATAATTGCGCGCAGACGTAACGCGAGAATTTATTTATAATTTTGCTCAATTGCATCAGAGCTAAACAACACAACAGGCGCCAGTGACTAAACTAATTACGTCTCTGATGAATTTCCACCTGGTAAATAATGAACGCGTTATACATTCGCAAGCAGCCTCGTCAACGAGCGATCTGACGCAGAAACAAAACGAGAATAGCAAAGTATGTTCGAGCGAACTATTTAATTAGTCAACTTTCGAAATTCCAAATCGTCGCTATTACGGATATAATTATCACCATTCCGGGAATTCGATAAAAAAAATTACACCGAAACAATTATAAATTTCCATACAAATTTATCGAATTTCAGTGACACTTTTGAAAATCATTCTCGATCAACATTATTGTCAATAATTGTTTTCTTTAACATCAAATTGAAACATTAACATCGACTCTCCGGTATCAATAATTTCTCGGTCACTGTCAATTCGTGGAATGTAAAAAGAAATTTCTAAAAAGTAATTCACATTTACAGTATTTCTACAGAATATCTCTACTGGTCGAATGTTTCATTCGAATTTATTTCAATCAACTTTATAAAATTGGAAATTCT